TATTCTAGATAAAATATGCTTTCAATAGAAAAAGAAAATTCAAGAGTTGCTACAACTAAACCATTAGATGAACTTTTTACTAATGTCGGTCAAAAGTTTGAGACAGAGACCGTAAAGCATGAAGGCTATCGTTTTGACTACCCATTGAGATGGCTAAGAGACCCATCCGTCACAAAAGCTGTTGGCTTTCGTAGAATGAAGTTCATTTCAGAAGCCATACATGGTTTCCCATTTACGGTCGCTTTTGAAGTTCGATACTATAACAAAGAAAAACATACGTATGAGAAATTTGAACAGGGAAAACTTTTACAAGTGAATTTGCTTGTAAACTTAGAAACAACTCTTCAAGCTTTTCAAGAAAAAATAAACGATATCTATCTCGAATATGCAAAACAGTACAACATTGACGAAGGAGAGTACCATCTCGATATTATATATGACAGGAAAAATGCAACTGTTAAAATCAATAGAATAGAAGACCTTGGAGAAGACGTTTATATTTCTACAAAATATAACAACTTGGCATGGTATAGATTTTTGAGGATGTTAAATCAGCCTGCAGCATATCCAGTACACCCGAACTTTTATGAAGTCGAAAACCCTAATGGAACATATGAAAATGTTTTCGACTCAGATGCTATTATAGTTCATGCTTCATTTTCTGGTGCACAAAACTCTTTTTTATGCTTGGCAAATGACTTTTACGAAAAACCTACAAAGCTATATGAACCACCAAGTGGAAGTATTTCAGACTTTCAAGTATGGTTTACTACAGATGGAAGAAAGAGAATAATTCCATTATACCACGCGTTTTACTTAGAACTTAGTTTCATATACAACTACTATCGAACGGTAAAAATATAATTTTAATACGGTTGAGGTGTTGGATTTGGTTGCCAACTAGACTGTGGTGCAGGTTCAGGCTGTTGTATAACAGGAGCTTGTTCTTCTGGTTCAGGGTCTTTAGGTATAATACCAACGAACTGACCTACTCTTTTACCAATATTTTTGACTCCGTTCCAAATTCCTCTTCCGACAGATTTTATTCCATTCCATATACCTCTTCCAACATTTCGAAAGAAGTTTCCTATTCTTCCAAAGAAACCCATTTTACTATATGTAAAAATCTAATGTCCACCTAGTCTCTTACGTTTCCTGTTGAGTTCCATAGCATTTTTTAACTGGAGCTCATACATTCTATTTCTCCTCTGGTAGAAAACATACTCTGGGTCAACTCCTGTGTTCGCGTCATCTGCATAGAGTTGTTTATATCCCACTTCAGGGTTTGTATAAAACTCTTTCCATCTCATATTTGCATACCATGGTGGCAAACCTAACGCAGCGTCATTTGACATGGCAGTTTGCATTTGTACATCTGTTGGCACTTGACCATAGTTTGCCATTGCAGTTTGTATTCTAACTTCATTTGGAATATTCTCTGGGTTTGGTTGTCCAGGTTGCTGTGCATTCGCTAAGTTCTGTGCGTCCATTTTAATATTAGATAAAAATATCTCTTACGAGTACATATGCTGAACATTTGCTGGTATTGGTTCATCTTCATATTCTCTATATCTTTCTGCCACGTCAAATAAGTAAATGACACAATGGAAAAAACCTAAAACAAGTAGTCCTATTTCAAACCACATTTACTTACCAATAAAATTTCTTTGTTATGACACTTTCTCCGGTTTATAGGACCTCTCTCATATTCTATCTTATCGTATCTAAACTCATAGTCATGTATGTCCTCTAACCATCTCATGACACTTTCCAAACCACTTTATCGGATGTAAAGTAAAAGCATGGATGGTTATGTAAAACGTCTAAAGTTTCTAAAGAGTCTCTCAAAGTCCAGTCTACTTGGTATTGAAAATCCCATGTGTTATAGAACGGCGGGTCTACTATAAAGAAAACATTTTCCTTGTTTTTATATTTTTCATACAACTCTGTCCAACGACATCTCACAAACTCTATACCCTCAGTATATTTTTCTATGTTCTCTTTGAAAACCTTTGTATAGTTAAGATATAAAACGTTTGACATAAGTGTTTCAATGTCATGAACTCTTATAGAACCACTATACAATAGTCCTAGAAGATATACTATCCCAGTCAATATACTCTGCTTTTTTCAAAACCTCTCTGACATATTTTTCTTATCTAATGGTATACGTTCCATCTTACCTATAGGTATCTTTTCTTTCAACTCACTCAATATTTTGTTTGTGTCTGGTATATGTTTGAGACGGTTCATATAGTTGTCGAAGTCATTGCATATAATCTTTGAGTCAGGAAATACAGTATGGCACAAATGAGATATATAGAAACTTCCACCGAACAAATCTACAAATGTTAGACCATTCGGTAGTTTCTTAAGTTCTCTCAATAGAATATCTTTACATCTACTCTTATTTCCAAAGAAGGGTAACGGTGGTTTTGTAAAATTCATTTTATATACAATAAAAATGTTTTTTCCCTGAAAAGTGACAGAAAAGTGACAAAACATCTTCGGGGCTAGAGGGCACGAAGTGCCTGGAAGCCCCAATGCCTTTTTTTTTTTTTTTTTTTTTTTTGTGGGTGCAAATTTCCAAATTTCATATACTAATTTTTTCTAATAATTCAAAATTCGACCAAAACATTAAGTTTTCTTATCGTAAAAATTGTGTATTCCAAAAACTTTTTGCATTTTTGCATTAATTATGCCATTTAGACAAAAATAATAATTTCAAATGCCAAATTTTTCTCGAAATTTGCAAATGTTTTTGAATTCTTAATCTATTTCTAACAGAATATGATAATAGTAATCTTCGAGATCTCCAACTATTTCTCCATGGCTATCCGAATCTGTAGGTAAACTATGGAACAGTGAATCTTATTGTATAAACTCTAAAAGTTCAATTTCCGGTCGAAAAAAACTTGAAAACAATTTGTATTCGACGAGTTAAAGAGCTCTGTTTATTCTAAATTTTCCAAAAAAAATTAGATTTCGTTTTTTCGCTTCAAAAAATGTTGTTTTAAGTTTTAAAATTTGTAATTCAATTTTTTTGGAAAGATTTACGATTTTTTTAATACTGCGAATGAGTTTTATTTACATACTCTATTGATAAATCATATTTTTGTCGAGATATAACTTTTTTTTAAAAAAATTATATGCAAGAGTGTTATAGAATTCTAGAAGGTATAGTGCATAATTTGAAGTATACTATCAAATAAAGAAATTTTACAGTTTTTTAGTTTTATTTAGATGTACGTTATTTTAGATGGCTTCGTCGAAAACAAAGCATGTCTGTTAAGTTTATTCTTAACATGGTAAATAAAATGGCAACGAAGCCCAGTGTACTGCGTCTTATGCCGTAGTTTTTGTTATCTTCATACTCAAATACAACAAATACAAATAGATTTATTACGAAAAAACGTATAAAACAAATGATATATTTATTTCTAGACAAGTTGACGAACATGTAGCGCAACTGTATCGCTTCAGAGAACAGTTCTTCCAACACCTACTCATTCAGTGAAAGATTTAAGAAGAACTCTTACTCGACCTTAACTACCTACGCTTTGCTTGAACAATTCCCAACGAGGTTACTATAAGGTTGCAAGTCTTGTCAAAATGTAGTATGCAATACGTTGGGGAAAAATAGATATATACGAACAAACTACTACAGTCTAGCAACTAGTCTTTAAGTGTAATGTATTTTTGCTACAAAGAGCTCATAACGAAGTCAAATTTTGCAATTTGATGTCAAAACTAGCTAGTTGTTGAATCAAATAGCGTTGTGACTTTGTATACATCACGATCTTGTGGTATCAGAGCTGTACTGCTGCATACTAATTCAACTAAACATGAGCAAGATTGGGATTTCTATTCTCTGGGGTGCGAGGCTCGTCCAAAGTTCAAGCAGCTACAGTGTTTTGGATCACCTAAAGAACTTTGGGAATTCAGTTATTACGTAAATTTCTCAAGATGAACTTGAGAGCAGCGCAGTTATAACGAAAGTCTCTGATGAAAGGCAATGATTTCTTTCATGAATGATCTAACGTTAGCTTGAAATCAGGAAAAGAGACTATTGATGACTTACTTTCCATCGATGGTGCACAACAGCAGGGAGGGGATTGGTGGGTTTGGGGAAATTCGCTGAGGCACTAGTGTCCGGATTGTTCGTCAAATAGGTTTCCTTTCCTATAAAGAAATGACACTTTTTGGCGGCTTATTGACTCAGAAAAATTTGAGAGTTAACGAATAATTTTGGCGCCAAAAATAATTTCTCTTAATTTATTAAATTTAATATACGCACATCCATAAGTTATGCTATTTTTTCTATTTATTTTGTTCTAAAATTCTAAATATTTTTTTTTCATAACATAAAATATGATGTCTAGTCTCATTTACATAACAACATGCCTTAGAATAGGTTTTTTATTCTTTTTGTCACTTTAAATTAAGAATAAAAAGATAATTTAAATTGAATATTTGCGATTATTCTCACTAATGCTGCTTCCTCTTTTATTAGGTAGACAACAAAAAGTTAGCCTTGGACTCCCATATCAGATTTTTGATTGGTTGCGTATATAATGAGCTGGGATTGATAGACGAAAACCCAGTGAGAAAATTTTTGACGCCGTAAACTATTCAATTCAAAACGATGAACAATATCACATTTATGTTAAAATTTTTAATACATGGGTTAAAAAAGAAATTCGATCAGGCATGGTTTGACAAAACTTCCAAAAATTTGAATTCATTTTGCGGCTATACTTTTTTCCCTAACTTAAATAGACATATGTGACTCATATTTTATTCTTGTATTCGAAAAAAATTACCTTATTACTAAGAATTTTCATTTTTTAAAGTTTTTTCTTCCCCTACTTCTGGCATTGGAATTACTTAATATTTACTATTTAACAATGGCACTAGGATCATTGAATTTTATTAATACCATACTTCAACATGCTAATGCGATTCAATTTTTTCTAATCCAGAGTGTATTTAAACAAGCCATGCATGAAAATTACAATCAAATTAATTTTAACTCCATATGTTACTATTTTAACGGTAATCCAATGAAATTCAGCGATATTGATGATATTTGGAATTCATTTTACTGCAATAATGAAGAATATATACCAATTACACAGAGTAAAATCATTAATAATCAAAACAAAAATTGTTTTATCCATGATCTACTTTTTTCAAATTTCAATCAACGAATTATTGATTTACAAGGAGACCAAAAGGTTCTTATTTATAAAACAATCTTCTTTGCAAATACTAATAATCAAAATAGTGATTCTCATGGTCGTCTGATTTCCAAATTAGATGGATCATTGGTTCAATATCAAGTTCATTCCCTAGATACTACTATTAACTTGGATGAATATTCAGCTGTGCATTCAAATTCTGAGCTTTCCGATTCTTCCTTAAATTATGTGAAAGATTCAACTTTCACTGGATCAAAAGGAAATGGACCGTCGATACGCTGTAAGAAAGGTCATATTATTATCAAAAATATTAATATATCAAACACTCAATCGGATTATCACTATTCTGGGTATGTTACTTCTTCATATGTAAATAATAATTCTTTTACTTATTCAATCATTTCCAATATTACATCTGGTGATGGTCCACTTAGACATAGTAATTTTGATGGAAACCTTGACCACCTTATTATCAATGGAGTTGTAGCAAACGAATCCGGTACGTCTTATTGCATTATTTCTGCTTATATTTATTCAAGTATTACTATCAGAGATTGCATTTTTAGCAATAGCGATGCGTATAGAATTTTTGAAACAGATGATAGCTCCTCATTAACAATTTCGGATTGTTATATCAATAACAATAAGGTCCATGAAGTTGAATCAGGAACAATTAATCTAGAAACCACAAATTTCTTAGAACTAAATACTTCTGAGATAGGACCAGAGATAAAAGCTTATCAATTAACCAAATTTGCTGTCTTGAAATTCATCAGTATCACAAATACATTATTGAAAGGCATTGATGAAAATGCTTCTGCGATAATAACAATTGAAAGCAACATTTCTTTTCCAATTGCTATTATAATATATATTGATGATGAGATAATTCAAGTTGAATTAATCCCACTCCAATATGGTATAAATTTATATAACATCAACATTACAATCCCAAGTCGACTTGATATAGGAACTCATAATTTGACAGCAAAAATCCAAGGATATAATGAAAATGAATCAAGATCAGTTGCTTATGGGTTTAAATTAATCGATCCAGTTGAAATATCAATTATTTATTCTAAATATAATAAAAGAAGAATAACCATATTCGGAGCAATTGATGTGAAAGAGAATGATCTCGTAAAAGAACTTGAAGTAGCATTAGATAATTCTACTAATTTTATCAGGGTAGACGAATTCACAATTGGCAAGAACAATGAACAACTATTTAATTTTAATTTTGAGTTTCCATCTGATTTCACAAAGGGAAATCACTGTATTCAAATGAATGCAGTTAATAATTCTCGAATAATTGGAACTATAAAATATGATTTCATTTTTGACCCAGATAGATTATCAACTAATCGGCCTGTAATTCCAAAATTTAGAAAGAGGCGATGAAGAGTTATCTATACTTTTATATGATTTTTTTTGATATCATTTCATACTGATATAAATATCTATTAAACTATCCATATAAATTAAATACATTAAATGTTATACTCAAATAAATCGGGAACATGTTGTAATGTTTATTTGAAAGATGATAATTCTGCTTTGCTCCATGTCCAACTCCCTTCTATCAAGGTTTTTCAAAACAAAAGTTTCTAGAAAAAATTCGGATTTTGTTTGGAAAGAATGATATTCATGAATTATGAATTATTGTTGTTTTCGATATGGCATATCAGTGATTGAATAATAAATACAGAACGAATATGATCTGATTTAGATTCTTCTTCATATAACTCTCTAGATTTACAGAAATTGAACTTATTCTAAAGAGTATTTTACTGAATTTTTTTAACATTAATATTGTCTGATAATACGATATGTGTTTAAAAAGCTTTTTAGCTTCTTAGAATTGGCGTTAAATTATGCAATATACTGCTAAACATAACTAATTTGCATTTGAAATTCTTTTTGATGTTCTTTATCAGATTTTTTTCTTTATTTACCGTATGATCTGCTTGAAGTTTATAATAATGCATTGATATGAGTCTTTTTTTAATATGAAATTAAACAGTTATCCACCGAAATTAATGTAAATCATTGAATTTAAAACGATGAAAAATATTATTCAAATTATTAAAATGTATATCCAAATAATCCAATTTGTATTAAATGTTTTGACAATTTTCAGAAAAATTGAATAAGCTATTACGATTAGAGGTAGGGCAACGATAGGTCAAAAAGGCTTCTCTGATAGATTTCCTTGCCTTTTGGATATGCTATAATATATAGCCTAGCATGATAGGATATGATGTCAAAAGTTAGAACATAACTTAGGATCTTGAGAAAAATGAAAAACAAAAATTACATAAAAAAAGAAAAATTTTATCTAATTTGTTTTTTGGACTGAATAAGTAATTTTATTGAATTTCAATACGACACATAGATTTTATTATTAGTATTAAATATAATGGTTTACTATTAACAAGGAACCTAAACTAATGAAAATTTGATTTCAAATATTGTATATGATTATCATAGATTACCAAAATATATTGCTATTTATGAGGATATAATATTGATTATTAGTAAATCGTATAAATTTAATAAATATGCCATGAATATTGAATGAATTTCTTGATTCATAGGGGTAAAACGCGCTTTTATATGATTTAGACAGAGAATTTATGAGATGTAAATAACACAATAAAGGTTTATATTGAATATTTTCTAAAAATAAATCGAAATTATAAAAAACAATACATTTATTCATTGAAACTGTTGCATGCTAAGATCAGTCATAATGTAAACCTCTCAATTTTATTGTCGTGGGAAGTATCTCAATTCCTTCAAAAAAATTGAAAAACTATTTAATTTTAAAAATATAATACTTTTAATTAGTTAATTAATTGGAGATATTTAAAAAAATCACTTTTGATAATACTTTTGAGAACTTTAATTCAAAAAATATATTCAAAAATATCCAGGATATCAAGAGGGAATTGTTCCTTATGAGGTATATAGTTATGATGTATACCTCATAAGGAACAATTCCCTCCTTAAAACGAGAAAACTTGTTCGAAATTGTTTATCATTTCGAACAAGTTTTCTCGTTTTTAATAAGAAACTAAAGGCTATGAGGCATTGATTATATATTAGTGCCTCACAGCCTTTAGTTTCTAATAGATAGCTGGGAAACTTTCTCCAAATGATAAGTTATTCAGAGAAAGTTTCCCAGCTATCAAGAGGGAATTGTTCCTTATGAGGTATATAGTTATGATGTATACCTCATAAGGAACAATTTCCTCCTTAAAATCGTAGACATTTTTATACTTATTAATCAACCATTCAAAATCATATTCCTCTGAAAAGTAATTTTATTAAAAATTTAGAATTTTAATAAATATAGAGTTTGAATTTCATACAATACCTATATATTTTCAATAATGGAATTTGAAAACCATTCTCAAAAGTTCTCAGAAAACCTTTTTTTCATTAATTTTAAGAAATCTGAGTATTAAATTAAGTGATAAATTCGTTTGACACTACTTTAATTTTTAAATTCAAAAAATTATATGTGCTTCTTAAAATGACTCAAAAAATTTTATTATAAAATAATATATAATATTAAAAATCCCACAACATTTTTTACTTTACATAATCGTACTTCCTCGATGATTAATTTCCACTCAATTTCTATCGTTGACCGAACTTAGCATGCAACAAAACTACTTGGACAAATATGAAACAAGCATTCAGGCAATACTTTTGAGACTTCAACGCATCTGATAATTTTTATATAACTTCACCTCCTATGCTTAGAGTGGAGGTATTGAGATCGTATAAGTATAGATGAGCTCACATTCAGATATGATGTGTGAACTTCTGTTTTCACTGCAATTTTGAATCAGAATAAACTCAAAACAAGAATAAAATGATATACTCACTCTCTAAATGTGTTCGAGATTTAAAGTTGTATGAATAAAACGATTCATCTTTCGAAGCCTCCCATTTAATGAGAGACTTCGAAAGATGAATGTATTCATGTAGATGAAATACTATATATGACCATGTGTGATACTAAAGATATCAAAATGTTCATTTTTAAGTGCAATAGAAGGGTTATCTCTCGTAAAATCTCAATTTAAGGAAGATTTAGAAAGAACTCCTTTCCTGAGTAGATAGTGTGTGGTTTCTGTCTTTTGGTTGATCAGGAACTATGAAATTAAGTCGGACAGAAAGAAGTTCTTTTCAAAACAGACTCCAAATGAGTTGTTCGAAAAGAACTTCCTTCTGTATATGGATAATTGTAGTTACCGCACTGAAGTATGTGATTGTGATGATGGAGTTCTCGATAAATCTAAAATCGGATTAAGATTAATTGAAAACTCAAGTAATTCTTTGAAATCTTGTGTTGTCTGGCACTATAATAACCAAAGAATGAGAATATTATGTTGAATGATGAGTACGTGTGCTCGGCATTCGCCGAGCGAATTGAGTTTAACGTACTATGAAAAGTGACAATTTGGGCTTTTTTTCCTAGGGTTATGATCTCTTCCTTTCTGCTCAATACGACAGAAATGAAAGAATGAATTTGTACTCCCTAATTGATTACTACAATCTGTATCTATCTTTAACATAGAATTAGCTGCATTGTGATTTATACTCCAGAATTATTCAATTTAAGATCAACCTCGTAAATTTTAATCATATTGCACCAATACTCCTACGTTGAGATAAGAACATGATTATACATACCAAAGCCCCATATTAAAAATCAAAATTTAGCACCTCCATTATGCAACCACATTATTCGTCGCAAATAAGTATATTTACGCATATTATGATGCATATTCACACAACTCGTATACATGAAAAGTTATTAAAATCAGACAAAATTATTGCAATAAGGAAAAAAAAACAACTTTATTATATATGTTAGTAATGAATTACAAATATTTCTACAAAGAATGCTCAATACTTCATATAATCTTCGAATATTTCTTATTACAAGTTAATACATTTTGACTCGAACATGATAAACAAAAGCCGACACGCTGATTACTACATTTATGAAAATATAGTACGTTTCCATTCATCTGTTTACTTGTTTTTGTTGGAATAAAATCATTTTTTTTTTCTTTTATGAAATAAGAATTTTGCTGCGAAAACAATATCTCTAACAATAATTAATACATTACGTCAACTCTGGAATGAGTATTTATCAAATATGATATCAAAATCAAAAATTAGTTGTTTTTTATGAGTAAAAACGATGTAAATTGATTATTTGACTAATTATCAAATACTTTGATTTTCCAAATTTTTTTCGAAATTGATTTTTTCATGTGAAAATTCAATTGTTTAATTTCATTTTTGAAATTTTGAATTTTTTTTGGAATTTTGAGTTGATCAATTCAGCAGAATTGATAATGCTATTGCTTTAGGGCATACCACAAGGTGATGAATAAAAGGTGAACATTAACAAATTATTTTAAATCACAAATATCATCCTCATCAACTTTAATTCTAAAAAGAACTGTACTGAATTATGAAAATGCATGATTTACATTATTAAAATCTTTGAATGAAAATAGTACAAGATAAGTTTTTATTCATTTTTAATTAGATTTAAACGAAAAACTACTCCATATTAAAATTTAAGTCGAGAAATCGTATTTTGTTCTTATTTGTTAGCATTTTGTAGACATTCTAATCTTGAATTAATTTGTTACATGATATTATTAACAAATTTAACTGAAAAAATATGTTAATATGGAATAAACCATGATTATATAAGCTATCAATGCTATATATACATATGTAAAAGATTCATATTAACTCAATTAACAAAAATGATAGATTTTCATAAAGGTTCAATCTAGGTTCGTCCGAAAATTTTGATTTTTATATAGAAGACATAGTTTCATATACATAATTAAATTTTCAAACAAATTTGATCATACCATTTATTAAGCAGGATAGTATATTAATTACTATCAGTATAAAAATATAAAAATGATATATTTAATTATTGCATAATTTAGTCAAAGAGTTATAAGCCTCAAGTGATCGTTATCACCTTCAATGCACGTATACTTTATTGATTCATAGATATTTAATCTATGTTTGACATGTTGTTGTCGTCATTCGTTTTGTTCCCATTCTTCCTAAGTTAGAATTAGAGAATACACCATCCACATCATCTAATTTGGTCCTCAGCGATAGATTGGTTCATTTTGGAGGAGTCCCATCAGACAGTTTTCGAGCACCAAATATCAAATTTTAATGTATACAAATCTTTAGTGATTTATCTCTTTTATGATGAGTAAAAGGTTTCTGCTCATCAACATTTGATTTCCGACATATATGATTTCTAATTGCAATTATTTACTTTCTTTTTATAATCTAACTCTGTGACTCATACCATAAATTAATTATTGGAAAGTGTC